CAAAAGGTTTTCTATAAACTGATGTTTCTAAGTTACCTTCTGCTTCTTTCCTAACTAATACGTCTACGAAAGTAATACTATGTTGCGTCATCGAGATCACGTGACAATTCTCACGCCCTCTTGTTTCTAGAACTATCCCGTATCTTGGCGAATGCTCTAGTATTTGCTAGATAGGGTAGGCTGGTATATAAAAGAGGGGAATGTAATGTGTGTGGAGATAGTGAGTAATTGATCTGCGGTCAGAAGTATTATTGACGTTCGTTGTTATAGCGTTTGTTTAGCGCGATTGTTGAAGTTGAGTGTATCGGTAAAGTTGTATTCGGAAAGAATAAACCAGTTTTATTAAGTAAAGAACTTGTGTGGCTAAAGTTTCGTCGGAACGAAGTTACGGAAAGTTAATTAACAAACGGAGACGTAACAAATTGGTGTCAGAAGTGGAACGAAAAAAAATGGAAACGAGAGGCGGAAAATCAAACTACAGTTTAGCAGACTTGATGGCTGCAATACAAGAGCAGCAAAAGAAACAAGAAGAGAGACAACAGCAACTGCAAGAAAACCTGCAACAGTGGCAGCTCGAACAGCAAAATAAACAAGAGAGATTACAACAGTTGTTGGAGGAAAAAGAAAATAAACAGGAAGAAAGTCTCCAACAGTTGCAGGAAAGTCAGCAGCAACTACAGGAAAGTCAACAACAGTGGCAACTAGAACAAGAAAGGAAACAGGACGAAAGAATCCAACAGTTGCAGGAAAGTCAACAACAGTAGCAAGAAGTACAAATGGTTCGCAACACTACGAACAAACCACAGGATCATGTAAATTATCAGGAGCTGATACAAAAGTTTTTACCAACTCGATTAATGGGAGACAAAAGGGAAGAATTCAGGGAAGAGGAAGGAGGTGTAATATATACTGAAGATGGGCGAGGAGGGGACCACACCTATGGTCAGTGTGAAAATACAGATTCTCGTGGTAAGCTGAGATGCCAGATTGCACTCACCTACCAAGAGCTTTCCTGTACCTATATTATAAAACTTTTATTTATAGATCAATTTCTTGATAAAGAGATTGATAAACAAAAGAAACAGTAAAAATATATTTAATAGATTTTTATATAAAACCTGATTTATGCATGAAAATTTTATTAATATCCAAATAATTTTATGAGAAATTGTTAGATAGGTAAGCCATTATATAAAATATATTTTTATCACTCATAATCCAAAAATGCATTTTTCATTTTAAGATATGTGAAAAAAACTTATTAGTTGCTATCTCAGAACAACCTTATCTATAATATTTAAATAGGTAGAAAGTTGGAAAAATTAGTATCAAAGAAAAGAGAGTTTAATCTAATGTTTTCTTTATTATGTGTGTTGTTTTTGTAGATTTGTTTACAAACAGTTTAGAGGAATAAGATAAGAGGTTTCAATGTTTTGTAAATTGCTTGATTGTTTTATAACTTCTCGGCATATTTTATCTCAAGGTATTTTTTGGGTGGATTTATTATTTTCAGCTCATGTCTCAATTATGCTGACAAGCACATAAATAAGCTCTTAAAGTACCATTAGTATAGTATCTTTCTCAACTAGAGGGGCACTCAGTAAAGGGCATACCTCTACCATGCAGCATTGATCATAATCGGCTGTCAAATAATAGGAAAATGTGTCTGTTGTTTTCAATGGACACAGACCATTTTGGCAGGACAATGAGAAATAACATTCTACATATGTTCACCAAGTTTTATTAAAATCTAATAATTTTTGACTGAGTTATAGAACGAGAATAGTGTGAAAAATTGGTCCCCATGTTAACAAATAGGTTTTTTTTTTTTTGTGACCTTGACCTTTACCCTCTAAAAACTAATCACTTCTAAGTTGGGTTGTAGTCCAAAATGTATACCAACTTGACTCTTACCCTCCAAAAACTAATCACTTCTAACTTGGATCATAGCCCAAAATGTATACCTACTTTCATCCAAATCCATTCAGCTGTTTTCAAGAAAACTTGCTGACAAACACACTCATAGGGGTGAAGAGATGACTTCTATCCACATAATTTTCTCTTTCATTAGATAACATTAACATAATTCAGAGAATTTCAGAGATAGTTAGTTTGAATAATTAAAACATGACTTAACAGCTTAGATGTGAAGTACATTTGCCTGTAATCATGTTCTATGGGTAGAGATTTGAATCCCAGTAGATGCTTGTGTCTATTGGGCAGAGATTTGAATCCCAGTAGATGCTAGTGTATATTGGGCAGAGATTTGAATCCCAGTAGATGCTAGTGTATATTGGGCAGAGATTTGAATCCAGTAGATGCTAGTGTATATTGGGCAGAGATCTGAATCCCAGTAGATGCTAGTGTATATTGAGCAGAGATTTGAATCCCAGTAGATGCTAGTGTATCATACCATTTCTTGCCACACAACAAAACATTTTACTTCCAACTAAAAACATCCTGAATTTTCACTCGATTAGGTTTGTGGATGAGCTTGTTTCTGAGAGAAGAGATTGATGTAGCTACATAGGTAAAGTAATTATAAAAAAATCTGCAGTACCTTTTTAGCTGTGGTATAGTGGCTCATAGAATGGCTCTGAGTTGTTGTTTTTTTCAAGTACAAACTTTTTGCTCATAGCTCCATCATCTCTTGATCAATTTGATATCTAATTACAGTTTTGGACTCTGGATGTCAAACCTTTTCAATTGATGTATTTGACCATGCCCACGGTCTCATAGGTTAATTTATTCTAATCCTGCATACAAGAATTTCATGTGCCATGGCTATTGAAGATTCCTTCTTGTTTTAGTAGTAGCTGGTAAGGGTACCTTTTTAGCTGTGTTGTCATGTCCTGTTACCAGTGGAAAAAAAAAATTGAGCTCCATGCTTTAAGGCCATGGGTGTATTATAATTGTGATGGTCAAATATTTGGTGAAGTAAGAGTAGCCCAAGACTTAATGGTGAATGCTGTTGATTAACTACCTTTCCCTCTAGAATAATAGTTCAAAATTAGGAATTGTTAGTGCAGATGGCTTCTGAGTGGCTTTTTCATGTATATCCAAAAACAAATAAACAATCAGCTAAATTGGTTATAGGTCTCATTTTTCATTGTTTCATTGGACTTGGGATTGAATGTTTTGGGGGTTTAGATATTGGAATAGTATAATTTGAGGGTGAAGGGTAGCTAAAAAATTGCCACTACTATTGAAAATAATATACCTTAGAGATAATATTGTGCTCTTTTTTTACCTTTTACAGACTTACCATCTAAAATATTTCAACTCATCATAGTGTGTAGTCTCACTCTTCCAGCAATCATGCATTTACACAAAAACATTTTCTTTCAAAGAAAATTCTAATCTTATGTAAATATTTGTGTGAGGAGTGACTTTATGAGTTTTTCATTAAATCAAAGCATGTTTCATGATTCAAATATACCTATATGTAGCAAACTGAATAAGAGAGTCTGTATAATGGTCATCTTAGGACTGTAATTTTGATGAATAATGGTTCATGTCAGCCAGATGTACGAGTGATAGGTAATTCTTTATTCATGATACATCAGTTAGGAAGTTTGTCTAGTCTAGGTTATTTTATATACCTTCTTTTACATTATCATTAAATGTTGTTCAGTTTTGTGGTTAGACCTAATCACAGGTTTATGTTTTCCAATTCAGTTTTCTAGAGTAGCATCTTAGAAGACTACATTTTCAGACTATCTACTCACAAACAAGATGAAAAAATATGAAACCCAGTGGTCTAGGAAATTAAACAGTCGTGTTTTTTTTTTCTGTTGGCCAAAACTACATAATGAAATATTGGTTAATTTTAATGCTAACTTCTGACTATCGTGAAATCAGTCAAACAAATGTAATATAAAATATTTGGTATGATTGGTTTATAAAAGGATAGTTTTATTATTTAGTAGTGGTAGCTCATATTCTTTTTTTTATGGGTTTATATGAAGTTTTATGAAAAAAGTGTTAGTGATTTTTTTTATGGTTCCTGTAATTCTATTTTGTTTGCAGCTGCCCTAGTTATAGTTTACATCAAACATTCACTTTGGCTCTGTAACTTGATAAGAATGGATTCTTACAGATGAAAAGAAAACATTGAAACCCACCAACTCACTCTGTTTTGGAGAGAAAGAAGATGTAAAAAACTTTTTCATTGAACACCAAAATAATGGTGGAATACTGGACCTGCTTTATTGCTACTTAAAACACGTGAGCCAAAAAAATAATGTCAAATGGTGAGTTTTCAGGAAGAGAAATGTATCTTCATATGGTTATGAGTTATCTAACTAACTGTTCTAATATTATCCTTTACAAAATCATTTTTAACAAAATATATATGATTGAACACTGCTTCTTTGGAGTTTTTAATTTTTTACATCAGTTAATTTAGTATAGTTTTAAATTAGTTTTTGATTCTCATATGTAATTTCTAATTAGATTGTTAGATTTAATATTACCTGAATACTTGAAGATGTTTTTCCTATAGTAATAGTCTGGCAGCCAAGTCATGAAAGCTCACATGGTCTTCAGGACATTATTAGAAAGTTTCTTATTTAAACAATACTGATATCTCCTATAATGCCGTTTTTGTTTTTTTTACAGTTAACCATTCAGGAGATAGAGTATGACAGACAGACATTTGATTATTATATGTTTGTGTGTATATATTTAGATAGATAGATAATCAATCAAAAATACAGTCAAAAGCTTTTATTTTGAGTAAAATAAAGTAACTGTAGAGTAGAAATAGTGGCATTTATTCTATATCAAGAGTGCATTACAGGAAAATTATTAATTTTTTTTCAATTCCTAAAATTTATTATTGATATCAACATTTATCTGTCAGTCTTTGTATGTGTTGAATGGTTAATCTGAGAAAAAGCCATGTTAAGAACAAAAATGTTTCTTTTTTTTTTGTGAGGGAATTTCATGACAAAAATAGGAACTTCCTATGTCAAATGATTGAAAGAAATATGTATAAAATAAGAGCATGAAAAAAAAATGCATAAAGAGAGAAATCTGTTTAAGTATATATTTGTTGATTTTATTGCACCATGTCAAATGAATTGATTTGAATATCTCTTTGAAACCTCTTATAGAAATGAAAACTGTCAAAAAGCACTTACTTCAGTAGCAGTCTTTTCTTGAGCTTAGTAACATCCCTTCAGCTGCTTAGTGAACCTTAGTGCTCTGTTGTGCTGGATTGCACCCATTGCTTTGAAACCCAAACATTTTTCCAAACAATGTATTGCAGTCAGTTTCCTTTACTTAAAAACAAATGCACTGCAATTTTCCTTATTAAAATAACACATGGAATGGCAAAATACAGCTGTAAAAGCTCACTAGACAGTTATACTGCATATATGCTATGATACAAAGCATTGGGTTTACTACACATATTTATTTATTACTATTTTTGAGAAATTTGCTGTTGAATTGTTTTGATGGGCATCTGCTAGTCATTAAAATAAATAACATTTTAACTTATTACAAATTCACATTTTGGTATCCTTGCAACAAAAAAAAACTGTATTGGAAATTAGTTTTGTGAAACAAATACCATTTAAAAAAGTATTAGAGCGATGACTCACCATCCTAAATCACTAGACAGTCAACTCTGTTTGGATTTCAAAGATAACAAAAGAATACTACACCAGTTTGTTTAACAACCACTGGTGAGACATAGTTTGTAATAAACTTATTCAGCATATTTCTTTTATGTTACTTATAGTATTGCATAGAATATGAAAAACGTTAAATTTAAGGAAAAGTTCGAGAGGGAGAAAAAAAAAGGTAGCTCAACATATAGCATATGTGGTTTTTCTGAATTTTAGTTTGGTTGAGGGAAATTATAAACACTATTAAACCTTTCTAATTAACAGCTATTTTTGTACCATCATTCACTAATACTTACAAAGGTGTACAAGTCATAACTTATAATATGATTGTCACATGATAATTAAACAATGGAAAGAAAATTATTGTATTCTAAAATCTCTGTAGCAGATTCATTGTATTCTAAGTTAGCCACATGGGTTTGATTTAAGAAACCTCTAAGTTAAGGCTAATCAATCAGACTTTAACACATACACACACATATATATATATATATCATTATTATGAAAGGAAATAGAATTACTGTTAGAATCTTAGCAACCTGAAAATAATAAAATATCATAATGTATACATCAAATGACATAAGTTCAGTTCAGGAAAACTACTCAGATGTCGGAAACAACTAACAGTTGATTAGTATGCCCTACAGAAACGTAAATAAAATGCATAATTTGAAATTAAGTAAAAAATAATAACTAAAACTCATAGATAATTTTCATGTAGATGGAAGGAAAAGCATACCAGTCAAACTCAGGAATTAATGTTCTCCAAGTCATTATCCAGCTGTGGATTAACAAAATTGCAGATATTGTAGAAGTAATACTCTACCACAAGTTACTTGACTGTGCTTGTTCAAAGTTTTAGCAAGACATTTTATGTTGCTCAAGTTGAATTTTAGAAAGGATGATCTTTTTAATTCTCAGTATTATCACCTCTAATACCAGCTTATTAAACATACATATATACTGGACTGAATAGGTTAAGCAGTGCTCTGTAGCATGTTTGGCAACACTTGTTTCTCTCTGGAATGTTTGATGATTCAAACTAAGAGAACAAGTAATGGTTTTTCTAAGGTATCCCAACTAGAAAATGGTACTATTGTATTCTGGCATTATTCTAAAATTATTTAAGATTAGAATAACATTCCATAGTTTATGGATTTAAATGTAATCAACATTTTATTTTGAGAGTACATGCACTCAAGGAGTTTAATTAGTGTTTGTGTGGTATTAAAACTATGGCATCCTTCCTATGGAAAAGCAGCTTATTTCTTTCAGCATGTTACAGGTTTGATCTGTTGCATTGTTCTCATGGTTGACAAATTTTGTTACAACAAAGTGAATGAACAATATTAGTTATTTTGTTGTAATGCATATTTCATGTTATTCAAAATTCTGACTTTTGAAGACTTTCTTGAAATTTATTTGATATAAATGTAAACGCTTTCAAGAATTGAGGATTAGTATTTAAACATTCACAGAGTCTAATGAATAGTTATTATGTTGGGCACTAGATATAAGTACAGTTAAACAGCACTATCTTAGAGACTGAAAGTCCAGTTATACATATATATATATATATATAAAGGAATAAGATAATCATCCAACAACTGGTTGCTTATTTATCTATGTGTTAGAGTTGACAGCTGGGTTCTAATTCCACATACATCTCTACTGTTGAGATGTATTTTTTCATTGGCTACTCTGTAATTTGTGTATAAGTTTTATAAGTGTGTCCAACTTTTTGTTTTGGGGTAATTTTATCAGTCCAAAATAATGTATACATAATTGTGTTGGTGTATATCAAAATTTAATATTTTCTTTAGTTATTTGTGGTTGTTTCAGGCCTAGTGGACTCACAGATGTTTATATGGCAGTCTATGTAAGAAATAGAAAACACTTCACACTTCCATCATTATTTTGGTGAGTACAAATAATTTTGATTTTACAGTCATTTTATAAGATTTTGAAAAGCAGTCAGTGTAATGGAATTTTATGTTTATAATACTTTATATCATGGATTCTTGGATTTTTTTTACGATCAGGCTGTCAATAAACAAAATTTGCATGATCCATGTATGTGATTCTTATTTAGAAAACTATTATTTTTTATTTTAATAAAAGAAAGCTGGACTTTGAGATCAAGCAAAAATATAAAAGAACCACAAAACATATAGAATTTAATAGCTGTTTGTCTCAGTGGTAATGAGAATCTGTAAAACTACCTATAATCATTGCTAAGTTTATATTCTGTTCTGGCTTTTTCATCCCATGCTGATTACCTCCTTATGATCTGTTGTATGGAAGTAAATAGCAATGATTGCATCAAAATAAGTTTGTTACTTGACTCGCTTGAAGCACACCTCCGTGCAGGATGTTAAATAGCATAACTGTTACATCTCATCCGGCATTTTGTTTTCATTGTCGATTTGCAGAATTAAATAGTTTTATGTATTGAAAGCTCCAACGTCTTATAATTTTGGTACATTTATTTGTTATTAGCCTAGTTGAATAACTTATCTCACTGAAACATGGTACAAAAATTCTCACTCAATGGCAGCCACAGACACTGAAGACTTTCTGAAATGGTAAGATTGATAAATATTGCAACAATTTCAACATTTTTAGACCATAACATTGGCTACTATTATATACGACCACCAAATTTCAGTATTGGCTTTACTTATGCCATAACCTCTATGCGTGTGAAGTCACATATTTTTGGAATTGCTACTTTTTGAATTTCAGTTGCAGGCAGGTACTGCCCGAACAGTTGATGGTTAAGTTATGACATTTACAACTGTAGACCGTTGACTGTTACACTTACAGATCTCTTGATAATTCTACATTTTGAACTGTGTTCTGAATTTCATGTTTCAAATATAGCACTGGGCTAATAAAAGTATCCAAATTTCCGCCACATTTGATATCATCTGTCATCTAACGGTTTCACTGTCTGTGAATGTGCAATGTTAATGTCATTATCATAGCCATTAAAATCATGTTGTGACTAGTTTAAATTAAAGACTTAAATTTAATATAACCACTAATGTAAAAGTAATAAATAAAAAACATTATACCTAGTATGTTTGTTGTTTAAACAAGATTCTGCCTTAATGATTACTTTTCTCGGTATGAACTAGTACTAACAATTATCTCCTAAATTGACTCGTTTTAGGTCTAAGAACCGTGGTATATTTTTTGTATTTTCTATTTTATATATTATATTTTCTATAATATTTTTGGTTATTTGTATACAAATTTTATTAGTGAAAGTAAAGATAGTAGATAAAGATAGGGATAATAATGATAGTTTAACTACTTCTTTTATGATTTTAGTCAGGATATCGACAGTGAAGTTTTCAAAAATAGAGGAATGGTAAGTTCTGCATTCTTACAGTTTTTAAACCAATTGTTCATTTGTTTTGTTAGCTTCTTTTAATTATGCACCAGATAATCCTGTACAACTAGGCTTTTATCTTTTGATTAACATTAACTCACCTCTTGACACAGAATAGCTATTTTCCTTGTACATCTGTGTAAGAGATTTGGATGCTACTAGCCTTGAAGCAATTCCCACCTAATTTCACGTGTTTTAATGTGAAATGTTGCATGATAACATCATCATGTGACAAAAGCCCTACACCAGTAGGAGGGTGACACAGCCTCCAGGCAGAGTAACTCCCCCTTTTCACTCATGATAACTCCATTCTTCTCCTCGATATTGCATTAAATAGATGTGCTCAAAATTTCTTGTCTGAGTTCAGTATGATAAGATTTGCATTTCTTATTGAAACTTTCGTTTTCTTTGCCATTTGTTCTCAAAGAATGTAGTTATTATGAATACAAAGGGAGGGGTTACTACATATGGAGGTTGTGCCACCTTCCTATTGGTGGAGAGCTTTTGTCGCATGGTGATATCATCATGCACCAGCTCAGTTCGTGTTAAAACTCGTCAAATTAAGTGGGAGTTGCCTCAAGGCTAGTGGCATGCAAGTCTAATAGGCAGATGTGTGAGGAAGATAACTATTCTATGTACAAAGGTATCTATCGACAATAAATTTTCAGATTAGGATAATGTTAACTTCAAGGAGCTTGTCTAACATATACTCACTGCCAGATGAGTTATTTATAGTGATGTTTGATCTCCTTTTTCATCAAAACATCAAAATTGTTGTGATTATATATTTATAGGCTTGTAATAAAAAGTAGCTTTCTATTATCAGCTAGTAAAGTAACCCTTTAAACCAGTGGGTAAATCCACTTGCTTACTTTTACTCTTTTATGTGGTATTTTGAATCCCAGTAGGTACTGGTAGGTGATCTCTCTTGAGGTCATTGCAAAGGAAATTTTATTTGAAAAAAAAAGAGTACTGATACTTTTCTCGTTCAAATATTTCTCAATGTTTTATAATATCTAAGTTCCTTTATACTTAATTCAAATCCAATCTCTCTCTGACAAATTCTGTCTACAGTCATTTACCATCATGATTATTGATGTGCACATTATTACAAGCAGTAGTTTCACTGTATAAAACATCAAAACATATTTATTACTCTACTCAAAAGATGTAAGATGATTAGTCTTTGAATTTTCACTTTAGATTTTAACATTTGTAAAAATCATATCACAATTATATTCTGGTTTATGTTTACGCTATCTGTAAATATTATTAATGGTTATAAACATTATGTAATAACAAAACCTAAAAATTGTAGTGATTATATATTTATAGGCTTGAATTTTTATATTCTTTGGTAGTACAGTGAAACCCTGATTTTACGTGCCTCAATTTAACATGAATTTGGATGTATAACACGTTGGATCATTAACTCTTTCGACACGGGCTCGGTCCCTGGGACCAACCTCGTAACCATAACCTTGTTATAGTTTACATACTAATAACTTTTAATATTTTAAGTGTATCTTTATAAAATTTTGTAGACTTATAGTAAACATTATGAAGTATTTTTACTTAAATTTGTCCATGAAAATATAGATTCTTTTTTTTAACTAGTCTGAGTGCAAAGTGATTTTCATGTCAAAATTAAAAATACTTTTTGCCATCTAAAAAATCTCAAATTTCTTTTGTGTAATCTCTAAAATCTAAATGCATTTCAAACGTTTTTTTTTTTCACTAAATCCTTCAACAACTCTTGAAGTCTATCTGAAAATCCTGAACATGAAGGAAGTTTGCCACTTTTTCTACTGTAACAACAACGATTCATTCGCAAAATTTTGTTTAATTCAGAGGTAATTTACTTGCCAGAAAGGGAACATGTAAAAAACTAGTTAAAGAGGGTGAAAATATAGGTGTTTTAGAATGATAGGTCAACATTGGGTCAGTTTGAACAGTGATTTTCTTAAACCTCGATTTAGAGTGACCCCACTTGTTTTGCGATGACATTTTATGGACCCCAACAATCGCGTTATAACAGGGCTACACTGTATTTTAAATATGTATATAAAAATGCAGTACTGCCTAAAATCTTAAAGGATATATTTTCATTGTTTTTAATATCAGACTGTTTTTTACTCAATTACTTCAAACCTTAGATGTACATAATTACCATGTATTCTCCCACAGGTTTCAAGGATATGCATTTAATTTTTGGTTAATTAAAGAATGTTTATATATGTGCCAATACACAGCAACTTGTGTATATTAGACATTATATATATAATACATTCTTATTTATCATCATCTACAAGTTCCAAACTTTCTTTAAACCTCACACAATTATGGTACTTGTATTAAAACATTTCTGAATTTAGTTGTACATTTTCAAGGATCTTTCATATATGCAGATTGTCATACTTTATCAAACCATTTTAACATTATTCTGTATCTGTAAATGATCCAATTTTAGCTCTTTCTGTCAGTCATTAATTTTTCTTTTGTATAATATTGTTAACACACCAAGGAATGGCATAATTTATTATATAACTCAACCTTCTGAATCTATACAGCATCCTTATTTGGCTGAAATAGTTCAGTGAAGACATTTGTTAGTTGTTGTGTGTGTGGAAATTGTTGGATTTTCATACTTGAAATTTAGATTTCACAGTGATCCCTGATATAATTTTCACTGTTCTCCACTCTAGACAATATTAGTAAACTGTGAGCTGAAAGTAGACAAGTGGCAGACATCGACTGGGCGTTCTAATGGCACTTGTATATCTCCAACAGTCTCACCACGAGGGTAACTGAAATATTCTGTTACAATAAGAAATATAGAAATAATGATAATACAGTATGAAAACATATTCTTTTTGAGTTTGGTTTATTGGATATCATGGAAATTAGTTTTGAAAATCTATTTTGTAAGTTTTGGTGGCATTATGGGTGCGTTAATAATGTAAGTTATTTGAAATTTGCATGTGCCATTTAGATATGTAAGTAATATATATATATTTTGTAAGTTCTTGCTTCTGATGATGGCCTTGATCACCACTAGAACACTTAGAGAATGTCCAAAAGGCTTAACACCCTTTTTAATAAAATTCAAAGCAAGATACATTTCAGTCTGGAACTTTACTTCTTAAAACAAATTTACTGGTGTATTGCAATCTAATATTTTTTCTGGATGCTCAGAAATGTGGAGTGGGCTTTTTATGTCAGTTGTTTTAAAAATCAGATCAACTAAAGTTGAGGGGGTATTTAGATCTGTTTATAGTTTTAAATCTCTATCTTTTTATTACTGTGAAGGGAGTTTTTATTGGAATCTTGTGAATATTAATCTTTTATACTAAAAACAGAGGATAAAGTAATAAAACAGTATATCAGCCAGTGTTATTTGTTTCTTTAACAAAAGGAAAGTTACATTGTTTATTAGGATGTTTCAGTAGTTCAGTCTAAATCGGCAAAATTAAAATGACAAAAAAATTAAAGACATGATTCTAATCTTTAAAAGCACTCGTATATAAAAGGTTGTTAAAATTGTAACTAGATTACATCAACATAGATTAAGTTTTCTAACTATTTTAAAATTTCATTCTGCTTATAAGAACTTCACTGACAACCTGACAATGACCCTCAAATGATCTCTTTTTTTATACTCTTTACTACCAGTAAGGACCATATATTGAATCATATTAAGTAATTTTGTGCTTTTACTTGTTACAAAACTCATTGTATAAAAGCTGATCAGAAAAGCAACAAAGATATTAACTTCTATACTTTATTATCCCATCTCAGTGTAATGTGTATAGAAAACAGTGACTGTTAAGCTATTCAACTAGTTTTAGATAAAAGAAAGAATATTGTTAGAAGAACTATTTTCTTTCATATTATAGGATGTCTTATGTGTGTGTGTGTGTTATTTTTATGCATGTGTGAGTGTGTGTATATTTTTGAATTACAAAAGTCATCAAATTAAATCAGTAGGACTACAGGAACTCAGCTTGGTCCAGATTTTCCTGGTAAACACTTCATTTCTGACTTAGAGTTTTTGGTACATTTGATCGTACGACAGGAAGTCTGGGGAGCCAGCTGGAAAGAATTTGCATTACGAGGTGGGTGCTCTTATTTGCATAATCTTAATAGAATGTACATAAACATATGCTTGTATTTCATAAAAACATGATTAACTTCACCATACTTAAATTGTAAATTGTAGACCTCAGCTTTTTTTTTAAATTAAAGCAAAAACTATATATCTATGATTATAATATTTTTTCTGTTTTTGTAACTTTTAAGATCTGTAAATATTTTTTTATCAAAAGTAGATTTCTTTTAATGATTAAAAATTGTTTTGGAAAGTAATTGTTTAAAAGTGTCCAGCTTTTTGTTTTTTCCTTTGCAAAAGACTATGTAGTATTCTTACAGTTGTTAAATGCTGTGATAAAATTTGAAAACATAACTGCATGCTCAGACTTTGTAAGAATATTACCTGCACTGTAGCCTTAGCATTTATCAGAGACTTGTGCCTAAAGTACCTGTAACAGTTTGAATATTTAATTAATTATTTTTCCACTCCAGAAGTTAAATCTATTTATTGATTTGTAATACATGTTGTATGTTGTTAATGTTTAACTCAGTTAACTCACTCCCACCCAACATAGCCATTTAAAATGCTAAATTCACCTGCTGGTAGTGTAGGTATGAATGCTGTTCAAATAAAACTTTGTCAGGCAATATAAATACCTATTTGACTGTTTAATGCAAAATATTATCAGTAAAATCTTAAATACTTAAATGTATATTATCAGCTTAATATTTTCCAGTTAATTTTTTAACAAAATCGAACAGTCTTGACCTATTCTTTGGTTTTATAAACATTTAATAAAGGTTCTAAGCACAGATATAATTACTGTTTTAAGTCTCAAGTGATTGCTGCAGTTGTTTTCTTACATTCAGTCAGTGTTATTAAATGTAGAAGCTAAAGAAACTGTTACACTTCATAGCATTTTGCTTTCTACTGGTATTGAATAAGTACGTAGTACTAACAAAGTGAAGAAACTATGATAAAAGCCAATAACTATCCAGACTTTAATTTAAAAACTGTCAAAAGTATGCAGCTTAGCTCGGGTTATTAGTTTGATTTATTCTAGATAACTATGTCAGTGTGTGTATTCTGAACCCATTTTAGCATAAAAGTATAACCTATATACTTTTGTTGCTCTTTTATGGAATGTGACCTCTTTATAAAGGTAACCTTCCCACTGACTTGCTCTCCGATTTTAAACGTAAGTAATAAAAAACAAACCTCTTTAATTAATGGAGCCTCTAAATTAGCAAAACAACATTTTTTTTTCAATTTTGTAGTTTATACATTTAATTTTATACTTTCAGCACATAGCCTTTTAACAACAATATTAGGTTATACTTTTATTGCTAAGCAACATAATGTAAAAGCCATTGTTGGAATGCATTGTTACCAAAACTTACTGGCCTATCTATATATATTAGAAGTTGTTATATAAGGAACTACTTCTTTTTTATGTGGTTTTTTTGCTAGCTTGCTTCATTAAAAAAATGTGCACATGCACATGGATAAGTAATACCCAGGTGCACACTCTCAAGGTCCACTTAGTATGTGTGCAAAATTTCAGGTTTCTAGGTTCTTTCCTCTTGGAGCTATGGTGCATGTCTGTGTGTATTGTCTGTGATTTCTATTTGTAATATAAGGAACCACTTCTTATCTATATGTTTATTCACAAGCTTGCCTTGTTAAAAATATGCACAAGTGCGTACGCATGTGGATAAGTAATAATACCCAGGTGCACACCCTCAGGGTCCACTTAGTATGCATGTAAAATTTCAGATTTCACAGGCCCACAGACACGTCCTTTATTATAGAGAGGACAGGCATCTGCATGTAACTATTACATATTATTAAAGAAGACTTAATTTAATAGCTGAACTACATATATCTGAGGAATTGTAGCTGGTATTACCCATAATATCTATTTGTATAATAAATGCTCAGCAGGATTTAAGTGTAGGATGAATGTAAATGGTATCAAAAATTCAAAATTTCTTGCAGAATATAAGTGCATGTTGAATGTAAGTGATATAAAAAATTCAAAATTTCCAGCAGAATATGAGTGCAGGTTGAATGCAAAGGGTATCAAAGATTCAGAATGCCCAACAGGACTTAAGTGTAAGGTGAATGTAAATAGTATCAAAGAATCAAAATGCCCAGCAGAATATAAGTGCATGATGAATGTAAATGGTATGAAATATCTATAATGCTCTGTAAGACTTAAATGCAGGGTGAATATAAATGTTATCAAAGATTCAAAATGCTTTGTGGGACTTAAGTGCAGGGTGAATGTAAATGTGCAAAGTAGCAAAACATAAAGAAAATTAATAATTCACAATCCTAGGAAAGTTAAAAAATGTAGTTGAAATAAGAATAAATGGAACTAAATGATGTTTGGTTGTAGAATGCCATGTTCTGACTAGCCTAAACAAAGAATAAACAAGCTTTATACCTAACCTATTCATTTTAAAAGCTTGCATGGATCCATGGACTTGTTTTTGCCTATCCATAGAAAATCCACTGTGAAAGAGAGAAGTTTTGTAAAATATTCAATATTTATGAAACTTAACTTGTACATGTGATAGGAATAGATTAAGAGTGTTGTTTCCTTTTGAAGTCATTGTAAAATAAGTAAGTGTCATAATTTCAAAGCTTCTTGAGGAAGCTATGTTTAAACACAACACTATATATGGGCTTATATACTCCTAACAGTCTGTCTTTAAACTTTTTACAGAAATTTGGCCAGTCTGTGGAGTGTAGAATATTGGGAACTACTGTTCTAGAATATGTGCAAAAGCTAATTTCACATATTTATATGATATAATGCTGCTTACATGGATATTTAGTATAATTCTGTTTGTTTGTTTTTTAGTTTTTTTATTTGGTAAGGAATTTAGTGGGGAGTTTTCCAATTTAACTGTGTATGTTTGCATCCCTGAAACTGCAGCTAAGAAAATCATTTTATATTGCACTCAGTGTGAGCTTACTTTAAGAAAATATTTATTTGTTACACATATTTGCATGTGAAGTACTGTAGTCTTTATTTGTTTTGAATATGATTTTTTTGTTATTATAGTTCTGTGGCTGAAATCCAAGTATCATACTTTGAATGGTGAAGCAGACATGGCAGCATCATGTTTGGAAAGGGTAAGTTTAAAAGATCAAGCATGTATTGATTTTTAAAAAATTCTGTTTTGTTTTTTTCATTTAGACTGTCCATCTTGCCAAGCAACACGAATGTCAGGATTTTTGTAAACATTTAACTTTTTAAGATATGTGTACATTATAAGAACAACTTAATAAGCAATAATGCCAAATTTCAACCAGCTGATTAAAGGTTTTGTCACAAGTTATAACTCTTCAATTAAACCTTAAATTCCCATCATTTTCATACAGGCACGTATGTTTTTATGAAGTTTGTTTAGCCAAAGGAAAACCAGTTAAAGTAGATTGGAAATTGATAAGCACATCACTTAATTTCTTTCAAATGTTGTGTGAATGAAGTTATTTTCTATAGTCATTGATTGGTTTGTTCAGGTGTCAAGTCTGAAGTGGCCTGAGTTATCAGTTGATGAAATTTTGGCTATTTTGTCTTGCATGAAGTTGTTACATTTTACATGCTTCCTCGTCGAAGAACACCCTGTTTGTTATTTTATTTTTTATTATTAATGTCCCCAGCATAAGCATATTTAAATAGTTATTAATTGTAATTGTAAACTAACTTAAAATACAACAAGATAATATATATCAGATGTTTCTGAAAAATAGTTGCTACTCTTTGTTGCTTTTTTTTGTGTATATGATTTTTAGATTATTTGTTTAAAAACTATGATAATATATATATATATAGTTACTATTTTTTTGTTTTCTGAATATGTTTTATTGTAGATATTAACTCTGTTGTGCAAAGAGAATAAATCAGAATCATTCCAGAAGGTTGATCTAGTGAACTGCTTCAGTGGCAACATTATCACCATTGGTATGTCCATTATGGCTTTCTATTTTCATATTAAATATAAATAGTATCTTTTGAGCTAATGTACTGGCAGTAAGTGTGAGAAATGATAAAAAGCAATCTTATAGTTCTATCTATTTGCACATTATTGCTATTGCTACAACTTGAAGTATGGCATTTTCTTGCTCAAAGAGGAACCTGCTCAATTTTAAATACTGCCAGTATTTGATGATTCACGTAGGAATAATACACTGTGCTCTGTATCTTTAATGTGACAGGGTGACTATAAAATATTACATTATTGGTATTATCATAATAGAAAAAGATATAAGTGCTCTGTTTTTTTCCCAAGAATGTTGAAGTCTGATTTTTGTTTTCACCATTCTGAATCATTTATTGTTTAGTAAAAATAAAAATTATTCTGACATGCTGAAATGTTTGGGTTTTGACAGTTGAAATAAGTAGCGACAAATTATTTTTTTTCTTTTTTTTTTTACTTTAAATCTTCATTTGATTTCACACCAAAATCAGTTATAAGGTCTAACTGTCTTTTGCTTTAATATATTGTCTTCAACATGTTTTATGATAACATACATTTATTACTTAAACTACTAAAAATAGTATGTCTGTACCTGTTATACTTAATCAAATGTTTTAGTGTTTTGTTTATGTTGAAACAAAGTTATCTGGGTCAAGTTTGTAGAGATACTAGAGCTTGAAGTTCTTACGACATACCAGTTAACATCTCTTTGTCTTATGTCAGAATATGTACAAGAACTTCTGGAGTCTCTTCAGAGGTATCAGTCATTAGAAGAAGTTCAAAAGCTATTTGAACAAGGTGACTATGAAGCTGTTGTAAGTCTACTCATTCCCACTTTTAAACAACCCTCAACTAAAAGTAAGGTGAGTATCATAGTCTGGAGGAAGAATGTATTTGTGCTGTTACAGAAAAATTACAGATATTATATATATTAAACTCAGAAAACTGTTTAATAACATTTAAATTCTTATGATAAATTACATAGTTACCATAAGATTGTTTGTTTGTTTGGACTATCAGTGCACTGCCCAACACTAGTATCAGAACCCGGTTTCTAGCACTGTAAGTCCACAGACATGCAGCTGTGCCAGTGGGGTGGGGTGGCCATTAAGGCTATTTAAAAATCATTTTATATAATTTCTATATTCAAAAGTTTTTACTTTCATTAACATAAAAATTATGTAAGTCAGTGGTGGGCAACATAAATTAACCTGTAGGCCATATATACATCTCGAAAGGGCTGCAAGACTTCTTTTATTTACCAATTATAGACCAAAAATACATTTGAATAAAAATGAGCTATATGTTTATATATGACACCTACTTACCTATTTTAGGATGCTAGGAGGAGCATTAGGTTGACTCCTTGGGGGCTACATGCAGATCATGGGTTGCACACCACCGATATATATTACATTGAATGAAGAAACACTTCATGTTATATACCATATACAGAAATGATCTAAGTACTCAGTAAAGCTTTACATTTTTTAGAATATATTTATGAAATAAGATAATGTATATTGTTTTTTGTTGTATTTTCATCCTGATTAATTGCATGCATCATTGTTTTTTTTCATAGGTATCTGGAGAAAGCAACATCCCTGAGCGACATGCCCAGTTATTACTTCTTCAGGACTCTTTATGGAAGCTAGAAAGTTATCAGGTAGTAAACATTTTGACTGTTGTGCTTAGTTTTGTATTTTATAAAACCTTTGGGGAAAATCTGATAATTATTTTGTAATATGACTGACTGTAGTTCAGAACTGTTTTTATGTTAATAATGTTTCATGGAAGTTTGGAATATTAAAATTATGAGGTAAAATTTTAACACGTTGTGATATTCATATAAAGGAAACAGTACTACAACACGGGTTGAGTATGTTATGTTAAAACAATTTTGAATATGCATATGATCAAGTTGTGAGACAATCACAGCTGATATAAAGCCTGTATTAGAACTTCATTTTGATATTGTAGAGAGTGTGGTGCAACCAAAAATTAATTTCTTTTGGGAAGGGTATTTAACAGCCCTTTCCAACACATAATATTCATACACCATAAAGATGTGTTCAGATTGGGAATTTAGAATTTAGAAGGTTTTTTGCCATTATCCTTTCTATTCGTGGATTCTCACCTGTTTTAAAATTTTGCATTTTGCTTACCACAAATTGGGTGCAATTTGTTGTATATCTATTTCTGGATGATCTTGATTCCCTAACTTGTTCCACATTAATTATAAGGAATATACTCATCTTGGACATGCCCCAGGCAACAGTTATTAACATAAATAAGAAGGATCTATGTCTGCAAACAAGGCCAAAAGGTTGTGAGTTCTAAGCTTCTAGTCAAACCTCATGTTCTCATATACCTCAAGCAGCTGGAAAATGAAATGGATATTCCTGTTATTTCATACAATCACCCCCAGTGGCACAGCGGTATGTCTACGAACTTACAATGCTAGAAACCAGGTTTCGATACCTGTGGTGGGCAAAGCACAGATAGCCCATTGTGTAGGTTTATTCTTAACTTCAAACAACAACATATTTCATACAAAAACATACAGGTCAAGTTGCTGGATGCAGCACCTATGAATTTCTGTGGGAACAGACTGTTGAAATGGGTGTTGGAGTACTATCATCTTTATAAAGTAAATGTACTGTAAAAAGCATGCAGTGAAGAGTGGTGTGCTTTGGACATAACATTATTATGACAGAGCCTTTTGCAGTGGAAACTACATTACAGGGCTATTGTAAACATACACATTCATCAGATAGAGCACATCCTGACTGTAACGATGTGGTGAGGTTCCAAAATTGTTTTAATATAACATACTCAACCTCTTAATATATTTTGTGGTTTACAAATTTACTGTAAGAATTTTGGTTTATAATCTTTGTTGTTACTTCTGATTTTCTTTTGGACCATAAACAAGTTAGCACTACCATATTTTGTAGCATAAAGATTAACAGCTAATGATTTTCATATAATTTCTTGGAAGTTTCAAGTTTTTCTCAATACTGTTTTTTGAAGTATAGAAAAAAAACCTTTTGAATCTATTAGGAAAGGCATTCAAAGTATGTATATTTATTAACATTTTCAATAGTTCAATATTTGTTTTTCATCCATGAACCTAAAAAAAAAGTTTTTTCTCATTATTAGATTTTGCTACATTACTTAAAGAGGTTTATATTTCAGCATATTTTAGTGCAAGTTTCAAATGTGAAATATTGGGGTTTGTGGCTGCTAATCACTAACTGTATAAGTAAATGCTTACTTAGTGGCAATGTGAATTTTGTTTCCTTTGTCACATTCAGAAACAGAAATTGTGTTAATGATTTGTTTCCTTATAACTTTGTGTTCTAGCTTGTATAACTATGAAAGTAATGCAGATTTAAAATTCCATACTAGACTGACTTAAAGTAACATTTGCCTGGTCAATAATATTTGTATAAATTGGATCTTCTGACTACCAGGTGGCAATGGGAATAAAGATATTACAAAAAATACTGTTCTCTGTAATTCAAAATTGGGTGCATGTTTGTATAGAATTAAATATAAAACTCTGAATTGATTTTGTCCAGTATTTTCACTTAGTAAATGTGTTTTAAGTAATGATAATATTACGTAAGGAAAATTTGGATACTTTTTTGTGTAAACAGGAAATTCTTATTGCACTCCTCCTTTTTTAGTTTATAATTGATATAAGCATGATATTTCACATTGTTTTGCCTTAATTTTTCTTCATTTTAATAAAATTTATAGGAATTGCAGATTGACATATTCAACCAGAAATACAGTATTGGAAATAATTGTGGAAAAAATGAATAGAAGGGTTGTAGAATAAAAATATGGGAATATTCCCCTTCTATTGAAAATGAACTACACCCGAGTACTGTCGAGTGTGTATAGTTTACATGCTGTTTGACTGTCATCCATCAAGTCGGACAACGGCACACCAGCATATTGCCTATTAAAGTACAGACAGTTATACTCTTCCCAGCAGTAGTTTGGTGAACTTACTCATGGCTCTCAGGAAAGAAACACCATGTAACAAAACATGTAGAAATCAGTTTTACAACAGATTTAAGGCAAAATTTCATGTCTCAGTAGAAGATGTATGGAAACAGTGAAGGGAATATATGAAAGTAGTACTATTGGTAATAGAAGCAGTCAAGGTAGAAAGCTAAAACTCTTCAAAAGTGACGTTAAGTAACTTGGAATGTCCTCTTTACACGATACGTGACAATCCAGTAACTGTAGATTGAGGTGTGAATGTTACCTCTAGAACACTAAGGTACACATTAGTATGAAGTGGCTTCAGTGAATGTGTATCAGCACTTGGAAGGAATAACTAAACCAAAAGCTGAAATTGGTATCAGACTTCATATGATGGAATTAGTAAAGTTGGAAGAGGATGCTTTGTACAGATGAATCAAAATTCCATTTGCTTGTTAATAATCAACAGTAGTTTGATCAATGACAAAGAGGAAATGGTATCATGGTCAACATAAAATACATACAGTGAAACATTGTAGGGAACCAGTCCAAACGTGGGCTGCATCTCATCCATTGGCATTGAAAATCTACACAAAATTGGTGGTACCCTGACTGTTGTTAGTTACAAACAGATTCTTGTCCATTATGTCATTCTTTAAGGATCAATACCTGTTTGGTAGGAAGACATGAAGGAAGAAAGAAATCTAACCTTAGCTTGGCCTGTACAAAGTCATGATATGAATGTTATTAAGGATGTATGGGATAAAATGGAAACTGAGAAAGTCAGCTGTCAACCAAACAACTTGCCTGAATTATGAAGAGTAGCACTGGGCATTTGAAACAATATTTCACAATGGTACCTTAAGGAACTAATTGTTTCATCAAAATCTGGTGTAGTACTCTGTTTAAAGCAAATCTAATCAAAAACACCTTAGGTGTGAAAAACAGGTGCAGCCAAAAAAGGATTGAGCATGTGACTTAAAGGAATGAAATTACATTTATAGCATTGATATATATTTTACAGCAAATATTCATTCATTAGTTAACTAGGCCACGTATTTACTTTTACCCACTATCATGCCCAAAGTTGCTTCCGCAGTCGCACAACAGTATGTCTGCGGACTTACAATGCTTAAAACTGGGTTTCTATACCCATGGTGGACAAAGCACAGATAGCCCATTGTGTAGCTTTGTGCTTAACTTCAAACAAACATGCCCCAAGTTAAACAAAAAATTCAGCCTAGCTAATTAATAAATGAATATTTCCTGTAAAGCCAAAAACAGTCCACTTTTAACGTATGATGAAATTGTGGTAAAAATTTCAGGCCAATTTCATTTGTGTGGGCATGTGCAAAAACTTTGGTCAAAATTGAGCTGTTTTTGTTGAAAAACTTTGCACATGGCTAATATTGAGACCAAATTTTATACCTAATTGTAGGTAATAAACATCTGTCAGTGTAGCAAATTTGAAAAAATTCTGTCAAAGTTAAGTATGTTTTTCTTATCAAATAACGTTTTGGTGTGATCATTGTGAAGAAGAAAAAAATAACACCATTATTTATGCTAATTGCTTAAGTTAATATCACGTGATGGTAAATGCTCATTAATTAGGATAATTTCATAAAATTTGTTATCTGCACATTCTTTCACCTTATAGTTTTGCTGCTCTAAGTCAGCCGTCTTTACTCCGATTGACAAAAAACTAAAAATGGCTCACTTTTATTCTGAGATGAAGCTGTAGTAAAAATGTTAGACCAGTAGCTCACCTGACTTTTTGCATATGCATGTGCAAAATATTTTGTCAAATTTGAGTGGTTTGTGTTGAATAATTTTGCACATGTGATTTATATTTACACCAAATGAGATTCCTAACTATATGTTAAAACTATCTATCAGTGTACCAAATTTAGAAAAAAATCCATTAAAGTTTAGTATGTTTTTTATTAAATAAAGTTTCCGTAATTTTGGTGTGGAGAAAAAAAAATTGGAAGAAACTCAATCAAAATTGGAGATTTTATATCTCGTGTTTATTAATAAATTGTATTCAAATTTGGTATGTGAAATAAGGGTCCACTAGAGCACATCCATTGAAAATATGTGGTAGGTTGTATTACCACAGTCCAAGCTGCAGAAAGTGGAAAATTGCTAAGCTATCACTACTATTAATAACACACTGTTTGTTGTGCGGGTTGCTTTGGCTGCATGAAACAATACTGTGTCTTGATTTACACATTACTACACCTATTTCAAGAATGTATATAACATGACAGTGTTAATAACTTCCTTTATAGTAATGCCTTGGAATATTAACAGTTTCTTGTCATCACCCACATGCTCCCGGTACAACTGTAATAAGCTAATTGCTTAAGCTAATATCACATGATGCTACATGCTTTTTAAGTAGGAGAATTTCATAAAATTTAGCTAATTTGTGCTTAAAAGTTGGCAATGAACAATAACTGTCCACACGTATAATTCTTTCAAAAGCTTGAGCTAGAAACTGCTAATCTAGTATGCTTGGCCTAACAAATATTTGCATGTGCTTTCTTCCTATCATAGTTTTTCTGCTTTAAATCAGCCGTCTTTAATCTGAATGACAAAAAACTAAAAACAGTCAACGTCAAATCATAGGTGAAACTATGGTTAAAAATTTCAGTCCAATAGCTCACATGACTTTTTGAGTGGGTGCATGCAAAAAGTTTGTTCAAAATTGAACTGTTTTGTTGAATAACTTCAAACTTGTGGCTTATAATGAGACCAAATTTGACACCTAATTTTAGGTTATAAATGTCTATCAGTATACCAAATTTGAATAAAATCCATCTAAGTTAAATATGTTTTTTTTTTTTTCAAATAAGGTTTTGGT